CCTAAATTGCTAAGGTTGCCCCCAAGGAGAGTGGATCATTTCTCTAATCACTCCATAGAAATTTCTCTTATCTCCCCATAGAGATGAAAACAGCTCTCTATATATCATAATGGCTTTTTAAAAATGAATAATTCTTGATTTTGTCTTTTAGAATTGAACTGAGCATCAAAATCTCTGGGAGTCCTCTTTTCAAGTATATGCTCAGTTACGTCAGGAGATCTTAACCTGGTCCTGTAAAAGCAATCTACAGAGTCATAGATTTCCTGATTCACAAAACAATCTATTCCCAAAGGTTGAAAAACACTGAGCTACCCATAGTATCTAGATTGTGGATCTCCTCTGCTTAGAAGGATGGTGGGGTGAAGAATCAGGAGGGCTTGGGGGACGGGGTGGTAATTTGTGATGACAAAAGGTGGCTCTTTGGTACTGACATGTTGACAGATGACCTTCTTTATTCATCAGAGTTCACTTCCTCTACTTAGCAGACCAACTATGGTACATCAGGCTTAGGGGTAGGAGAGAAAAATCTGAGATTAGGTCAGAATTTAGGGAGAGACAACATCTTGCATACCATGAAGGTGTAGAGTTGCCCTGTCTCAACATTTCAACTCCCCAGCATACCCTCAGAGAGGGCCCAAAGGCCTTCTGGGTTGTTCATTCATGACACATGTATGATCACAGCAAGGCCAGGACACAGGGGACACAGAAGCCCTCCTCCCGTTCATGTCATTCATTGGTCAATAATCACAAAGTGCAGAGTAACACCTCATATGGCAATAAGGTCTTCTATTAGTATTAACTGTTATTTTATTATTTCACTTTTGTGTGTATATACCAGGCTCAACCAGATTTAAGTGTGCTAGAAATCAAAAGCTTTGTCAAATATTGACCATGGTGATACACACACAGTCAGTACTTATTTATTTTTTCAAATGAATAAATAACAACGCATGAAATAACTAAGACTGACATTGGCACTTGCTCCAATGTAAGGAGCCAGAGTAAGGTCTGTCTCTTAAGAGCAGGTTATTTCGAAACCTCCCCTAATATCAATGAAAGTTTTATCGTTCTAAAATTCTGTGACCATGCATTGAGAGTTTTACATGATAAGATACCTATGCCACCCATGATACTTTATAAAGTGTTTGCACGCACGTTCTCAATAACTGTATACTATTTTCAAATGTTGAGGGGCTCTGAGGGGGTTCTCTGATCTATTTCAACTCTCCCTGGTAGCAACCTGAACAATTTAGGTTGGTTTCTAGAAAAATAAGTTCCCTAGCTCCCTTCAGGTTAAGATCTGATGTTTTCCTCAGTTACAGAGTCCTCTTCCTGCTATTTAAGTCTGCCTGCTCTCGTTCTATCTTTAGTAGTCATTTAGATAAGAACTGGGTAGTTAATGTTTTCCTGGCAAGACCTGGAGGAACACTTTGCTGTTCTTTTTCTTCTTTCGTGAAACCTGGAGAAGGCTTAGCAATGAAAGAGGCAGGTGGATCTACTTTAAACAAGGAAGCCTGGTTCTAATGGATATTCTTAGGGCACCAGCCAATGGCAGCCTGTCAATCGTGAATGCAAATATCTCACTGATGTTACTATTTGGTTTGAATAAAAAGCAAGGGTAGAAAAATGTCCATTAGAGATGACAGTCAACTTTGAATGGCCCTACTTCAATAATGAGTCTCCAATGAGCTAGAAGGATCAGGCTGGGAGGATTCCAAAGACTTGATGAATCACAAAGATCTCAAAACCACACTGTGCCAAAGGGAAAAGTGTTATTTCTTAATTTGACAAATGCTGCTCATTAAACCCAGGGCAGTATCACAAATGGTAATGGAAAAAATATTCCAAAGCTAAGACTAGAATAGCAAACTAAGTACTGTTATGGAATGAAAGAATCTTTCAGGAAAGCATGACACTGGCTATGTACAGCAATAATCCTGATATTGTGGAAGAGAAAAAAGGGTGATTCCAGTTAGAGCAGGGCCAGCCGCATATGGAGGCAACTAGTGCAGTGTCCAGCCTGATTGCCTACCATCACTCTGGCTGCCACAGTGGTGGTTTCCAGGTATTCACTCCTTTGGATTGTCATGGAACGACACTGTTAGCATGGAGAAAGAGTTGACAAACAGACCCAGTAATAGCTATTTCCATATTCATTCATACTGGTATGAGAAATTAGCAGAAAGCATTCCTTGAGGCAACAGACCAGGGGGACCAGGGGGATTCAACAGTAAGGACAGAAAATGTCCAGAGAAAGGGACATGATCTGGGAAAGAGGGATGAAATGCAGTCCTGAAGATCTTGGGTTTGGAGCAGAATAAAAGGAAGCATAGAAGTTTGGAGGTGACCACATTAGGGATACCCAATGCTGGTTTTGCTGATGCCAACATTTTTCCATAATGATTCTGTTGGGAATTTCTCCAGTTAAATGAACAGAAAACAGAAGAGTCTGTGTCTGACCGAGGGCAGATTGCTTCCTCCTCTCTTCTCTGTCACCAGTGTCACTCCTCCGTAGACTCTGGCCCTTTCTCCCTAAGGGGTTTACTTGATTGACCACAGGACAAGGAGCAGGGTCAACAGAAACCCCCAGGCTGTGAAGGCACAAATAATCTTAAGACCCCTGTTGTATAATATCTGCCTTGCTAATTAGTTCACAGATATGATATACATTACCCAATTATCTGCTTACAAAATTACCGACATTCCATATAGCTGTTTAGCAAGGTCGCAAATTCTGGGTATTGCCATTGCAAGTGTTTGGAAGAAATCCAACTTCATGTCTATGTGGAACATGGAACCGCAAAGAGGTAGGAAGTTTGTAATGGTTGTAGGAAAACTCCTACATGAGCTTACAAAGCCATGAAAAAGCCATAAAGTATGTTCAATATATGTGTTTGGCTGCAGAAAAAAAAAAAAAAAGACACTTCCTACACTCTGCCTTTTCATTTAGTAACATCTAGTAACATCAGTTATTTGTCCCAAATCACTTCATTTTAAGTCAAGTTTTGGCTTATTACCATACAGATGGGGATTCTGGATTTCTTTTTTTTTAAGTGAGAATTCCCACTTTGCTATGTTAATCAAGCAGAGTGACATCCTTTTTGATTGCCTGGTGAATTATGAAACCAGATCAAACCACAAATTTTGCATTTAACAAAAAACAATGAAGAGTGAGTTAGTCTTGGATTTAATTCCAGCTGTCCCATTTATGAGCTTGGTAGTCCCAGGAAAATTGCTTAACCTCTCAGAGCCTTTTATTTTTTTTCTAATTTATAAAAAATCAGGATATGGTTATCATCTAAGGAAAGTTGTGTGAATTAAATGAGTTCATGTTTGAAGAACAGGCTTAGCATAGCACAGTATAGAGCGCCATTAAAAAGCAGGAATATTCCCCACATGTGTGTCTCAGATTAATGTCAATGGGGATTTGGGAAGATGAGGTGGTGGTGGGAGGAGTCCCTGAGAGGTGGGACTTATTTAATATGAATTTTTGGTCCTGGGGGCGCCTGGGTGGCTCAGTGGGTTAAAGTCTCTGCCTTCGGCTCTGGTCATGATCCCAGGGTCCTGGGATCGAGCCCCACATCTGGCTCTCTGCTTGGCAGGGAGCCTGCTTCCTCCTCTCTCTCCCTGCCTACTTGTGATCTCTGCCCGTCAAATAAATAAATAAAATCTTTAAAGATAAAAAAAATAAAAATAAAAATAAATTTTTTTGGTCCTGAACTCTGAGTTAGAGTGGAACTTGTATATCATTGTCAATTAATAATCACTATCTCACTGATTATATATTTAAAGTGAAAGTACACTTTTCTGGGGGGAGGGCACATGAAGGGGCAGAGTTAATGGAGTTGCTGTTCCAAATTGGCAATTACGCAAGTTTTAAGACAATGGAAATGTTAGGAGCAGAAGAAAATCTGTGAACCTGAAGAGCTTTCATATTCTCCCTTGTGGTGTCCTGTTTTTTTGGCTTTTTGGGTTTTTTAAAATGTCATTTGCTTTGCAGAATCTGAGACCTCCTTCTGAATTCCTGATTAATGTGAATATGCATTTGTAAATATTGAGAAGCTGAGCTAGGACTCTGAATGTTTCCTGCATACATGCAGTGTTAATGACTCAGACCTCCTCTTTCATCCAAGATGGGGCTTACCATGTACCAGCACTTCTTGTCCAGCTCACTGTTCCTGGCATTCAGATACCAGTGACCTGAATCTCTCAGAACAGGTTCTATTTACTATTTAGCCCCTCAAAAATAAATGCATGAATAAAAAACCAAATGGGGATAACTCCATAAAAACAGGTAAAGAATAAGTGCATTTGTGACCAATTGTCCTAATCAAGTGTTAGCTGGAGAGCTGCCAATGAGCTGGGATATGTCCTGTGGGTGTTGGAGTGGGTTTTTCTTGAAGGTGGCTTGACTTCTTTCCTAGATCAGAATTTCATTACATGCTATTCACTGAAGTCACCTCTCTTTCAGGACCGCAGCTGCCAAGACATTGCCTGTCCTTATGGCTGGGTGTCTTCTTAATGACTTCAGAGGCAACTTGCAAAGAATGTTGCCTGGGCATCCCCTCTCCTCACAGTGACTCCAATTACAGTAGCTGTTTTGTTTATTTTGTATCCTCACTGTGCTCTTTACTTATATTTTTAAGGTTTTATTTATCTAGAAAAAGCATGAGCCAGCATGCAAGAGTAGGGGGAGGGACAGAGGGAAAGAAAGAGGGGGAATCTCAAGCAGACTCCTTGCTGAGCATGAAGGCCAACACAGCGCTCCCTTTCACAATCCTTAGATCATGACCTGAGCAGAAATCAAGAGTCAGATGCTCACGGACTGAGCCACCCAGGCACCCCCTCACAGTGCTCTTTAAATAAACAGTGATGGGATGGAAAAGGAGTGTACAGGATGATGGGGACTGAGAAGTTTGGAAACATAAATAAGGTCCTTTGGAGTTCTCAGTACGGAGGCTAATGCCTTTGTGTAGTCACTGAATTTGCCCTTTACTCACCATTGCATGATTCAACCACACTGGAAAGATACCATCTAAGGCCTTAGGGTAAACAAGCTCTCGATCGTAGAGAAAGAGGATCCAGAACGACAAAAAAACAAACTGGAAAACACAATACAAAAATAGCATCATTAAGTTTGTTTTCCATCAGAGCTTTCTAAGTGAACCAAGGAAACATGGTAAAATAAAAATAGACACCAGTTTTAGAGATATCCTATAGATACATTATAGAAATGTAAAATGAAGACAGACTTCCTGAGTGTTGAAGACCTATGTCCACTCTCTGGGGATTCCAGAGAACTGGGGATCAATTAATTGTCTCCATGGCAGTCAGGGAGGATATGGACGAACAGGATTCACAGACCATTAAGTCATTTTATTTTAACCAATGACATCTCTTGTCTAAGCTTTCACTGGGAGTACTAAGATCAGCCACCTGGGTGGTTTAAGTCTTACCCTTTCCTTGCCCCTTCCCCCCACCCCTTTGAGTAGGCATGGCAAGGGGATGCAGGGAGAATGGGAGAGGACAGAAGTGACCAGCGCCCAGGATAATTCACAAGCTAGTTAATATTAGAAAGTTGTATCTCCCCCTTTCTCCGAGCTTTGAAATGATCCCCATCCTCTAGTGCCTCTTGGCCAAGTGTCTGTCCTCTGGGTTACAAAGCCAATGTAGAGATGGGGGTGGAAATAACCATTAATTTTCCCATCTTCCTATCTTCTTAAATTCCAAAGCCTCCATTTCTAAGTCTTAAAAAAAATGAATAAATTCCATTGCTACTAAAAACCTGGCCTTTAGATTTATGGGGGTGGAGGAGGAGGTTTCCTGCAAAGTAAAACTGGAATGCCAGGACTTGCTCTGTTATCTGAGAACTTGTCAGTGTTTGGGCAGTTTCATTTTGCATTTAAGTCTGAAATCTCAATAATATAGGAGGCAAGACCAGGACAGGTGGAAGGAGGCAGTTATTCTTAAGCATAAGCCCTGCTGGGCAACCTGCAGGCTTGATCTCAGTTTGCTTCCATTCTAACCAATGAATGAAAACAGAAGCAATGTCATCGAAACGTGGGCAGTGTCAGCAAATACGCTCGCTGTCGTTGGCATATGTCAGGCTTCTTTCCAGTGTCCATTCATTCAACAAAATGAATGAGGCACTCACTGTGCACCCCACACTAGATATTTTGGACAGACTGTCTCACTCTCTCCCCAATTGTCTTTTCCACGAGCCAACACTGAAGTTCTCATACCCCTGCACACACCCCCCTTTTTTTTAATGGTTTCCACTTGCAGAAGTAACATATGCTCATTGTAGCAAGTGAAACAAGATGTATAAAAGGGAAAATGAGTCATCTGTCTCCCCAGCACCCTGCATTCCCAGGACTCTGGTGGAGCCAAGGCTATCTTAGTTGTAGTTTGATTAAGAAAGATCCTTCAAACTTCCCCATTGGACATCCACAAGGACTTTGAACAAATGTTTCCAAAGATAAGAAGGCAGTGATAATTCTGGTCAGTAATGAGCCTTATTTCCTGATGACACCGGGCAACACAGTACAGTCCTCAGACAAGACATTCATGCAAAAGTTCTTGTTCTGATTCACAATAATGGGCACCTGAACAGCCTTGCTGACCAGGAGGAGTGATGTTCATCCAAGGGGACATGTGTACCATACTACTAATACATCTTTGTGACTTACTGTGGAGATTGGGAAAGCCAGCGTGGTAAAAAGCAGGTCTCTGAAGGCGGTCATGAACTTAATGTCTTTTTCCCCCTTAATTCTTTTTAGTACATCTTCCACACAGACGACCCCGTAGAAAATGGCCTGCAAGAGCTGAATTCATTACAACAAATGAGGGCATTTTCATTTGCTTTCATTAATACATTCTTCACTGATGTAAAGCTCCATCCCTCTGGGAGCAATGTTGGTTTGAGAAGGAGGGGGCAGTTGGCTGTGTTGGTTGAGAGCCAATTCAAGGGCTGGTCTTCCAACTCAGTGGACCCTGACCTTGCTTGCTAAAACTGATTGAGTAAAGTCGTTTAGAGGATAATAATGTGTACAGTATTTAGTGTAATGGACTCGAGCTAAAATGGAAACAAAATAAAGAGTCAGCTTAAAAGGAGAATGTAATGAGAGTTACCTCAGCCGCACAGAGGTGGGAAAAACCAAATAAATAGCACAAGGGCAAAGAGCCAGACACAATGGTGGACGTATTCTGGCCTCTTCCCATGAAGAAAAAAAAAAAGAAAAGATGTTAAATGCCCAGTGCTGTAATCCCATTAAAGAAGCTAGAGTCAGGGTTAAGAGCGCCACAAAGGGGCTCTGTGCTCTCCTGAGGAAGATGCACAAAATGGCGTCTTGCTTATCTGAGGGAGAAGTTGACATCTTCCCTGACTGAATGGGGTGCCTGAAGGCCTTACAAAGAAAATCTGGCTAAAGGAGTGAATTAAATCCAGGGAGATAGAGCAGGCCAGGGGCTCTGGTGCATCACTAAGTACGGTGAGGTCCCTGAGGTGAGGTCAAAGAGATATAGGGCTCTTTTCAGGGAAGTAAGACTAGGTAAGGGCAAACTTTGCCCATTCTTACTGTTTTGAACAAACCTGTGGCTTCTGACTGAAGGCCTTATGGGTCAAAGTACAGAGTTATGGTTGGTTTTGATTGTGCTTGCATTAGATCCCATCTTATTCTTTGAAATCTTTGGGTTGGTACAAAAGGGGCTGTCAGAAAAACTGCCCTCAGAGTATGAGTCAGGCAAGATCTGGAACCTGGGACATTGCTCTCATGATGGATCAGATTGGCTGTTGGGGAATGACCTCTGAGGTCTGAACTCTAGAAAAAAGAAGTTCTAGCAGAGCTGGCCTCCTTCCACCCTTTAGCCTGAATGGGTGGGTGAGGGAGGATCCAGAGGTGAATTAGGCCAGCCATATACCCAGCTGGGTCCTCAGACTGGCAGCACCAGTGTCACCCAAAAGCTTGTGAGAAATGCAGGATCTCAGCCCCACCCTGGACTAGGAATTAGAATCTCTGGGAGTGGGGTCCAGGAACTTGTTAACAAACTCTCCAGGTGATCCTTACAGATGCTCAAGTTTGGGTAACACTCACTGGATTAGACATAAATTTATCACTGAAAATTTCTAGTGACTACTCAAAGCTCTAATAACAGACTTTCACGGATTTCTTGTTATGTGTCAGGCACTGATCTAGGTTTTAATGTCTCATAACCACCTTATGAGGTAAGTGCTATTATTATGCTCTATCCCAACTTATTTTACAGAATAGGAAACTGAGGCATAGAGGCATGAACAAACTTACTTAAAGTCTTAAGGTTGGTAAATGTGGATTTAAAACCCAGAGTCTGGTTCTTGAGTCACACTTAAAAAAAAAAAAAAAAAAAGAAGAAGTCGGGTTTCATTAAAAGTAAAGCACCAAAGGAGGTCAGAATAAAGACAGCTATCTCCAGGTGGGAGAATTAAAATTGACTCTGAAAAATACTGAAGCCTGGTTTTCAACCTATCTCTCCGGAGAGTCTAATTTCCGAAGAGGTGTGGGTTGGACTTCAGGATTTTTTAAAAATTCTCTCAAGTGATTTGCATCAGGACAGCTAAGGTTGAGAACCACTTGCCTAAAGGAACTTTCATTTGGACATTTAGATCCAAGAGAGGTGGGACAGTGAAGATCCAGGAGTGAGCACTGCTGGTGGGATGAGCCTGGAGAGAGAAAGAAGTGGAAAGTGAATGCAGGGGCAATGCCCTATCCACAGGGCATGAGGGACAAGGGGGAGGCAAAGTAGCAAAGAACGACCAGATAGTAGAAAACTGAGAAGGTACAAGAATCCCATGATCCCTGAAAGGAGGAGGAAGTTTTTAAGCCAGAAGGGTGGTTCCAAAGAGGGGTGGGCAATGGTTTTGAATGTCCTGAAGAGGAGGTCACCCCAATACCCGCCATCTACTTTTGACATTCTGCCCCTGGGCTGTAGCATTGGTAGCCGTCTTTTACACATGGATGTTAGAGGAAGTTGCATCCTCCTCCACTCTTTCCACCCCTGAGAGCAGCTCTCACCTCACCCCTGGTTTCACTTCCAGCTGTTCAGACCACAGCAGGCAGCTGCTTTAGTTGGGAAGGGCAGGCATGGGGCCTGGGCTCCGACAAGGAGGCCTGCGCTCTTCTATCAACAGAGCAATTAATCACGTACTGAGCACTAAGCATCTGCCAGGTTTTCTGTCTTTGGGGAGAGGATGCCTCCACCCAGCATGTGGAGTCCATGTGACCACTTTCCTTAGCAAGACCTTCCTAGGGTCACCATGAGTCAAGCTCGTCCTAACTTTCTCTGGCTCTTCCCAGTCAAAAATGTGGAAATGGGATTGGGAGAAAAGAACACATAACTCAGAGCCTCCCTGGCTTCTCCTTCATCAATAAAACTTTTCTCCACACCACAAACTTGCCAATCACCTCTCCACCGACCCCACTCCACCCCTTACCCCCCACCCCCGCTCACATGTATATGCCAACTGCAGTGTGGGGCAGCCTTGTCCCTACTGATCTCAATCTGCATTGACATGCCATCATCTGTACCAACAGGGAATATTTGTGGAGGCCTCACAAAGGAACTCAGGAGGGAGGCGCTAGGGTGTTGCCCAGAGAAATAAATAAGCCAGAACTAGGCGAGAGAGGAGCCATGCAGCAGAGCTGGAGGGCAAGGAGAGGGAGGTACCATGAACTCGTTCAGTGGAGAGACTTAGGGGACTGAATTATGCACCCCCCCATTCTTATGTTGAAATTATGACCCTCTGTGGCTTTATATGGAGATAGGTTCTTTAGAGAAGTAAAAACGTGAAAACGAGGTCAGTCAGGGCAAGTTCTAATCCAATATGGCTGGTGTCTTTCTGAAAAGAGGAAACTAGGACGCAGACCCCATGCACCATGAGGCAGGACCATGTGGAGACACAGGGAGAAGAAGGTGGCATCTACAGGCCGAGGAGGGGACCTCAAGAGAAACCCACCCTGCTGACACCTTGATTGTTAGCCTCTGGAACTGTGAGAAAATAAATTTCTGTTGTTTAAGCCATCCAGGCTGTGGTATTTTGCTACGGCAGTCCAAGCAGACCAACACAGTAGAGATAAAACAAGATGGCAACAACCGGCCTCCTTTGAAGAATCTCACAACAAAATGACCGTCATTTACATTTCTCACCTATCTGGGCTGCCCAGGAAAGCAGAGCTGATGGAATCTTGATCAGGGGTTATTTCAGAGCTACAGCTCTGTGATTTATCTCTTCTACCAACTCTTTTCTAAGTCTCTTTGTTCCTTGTGCCTTTTTTCTGAAACGTTGCTGGTCTAAGTTTGTTAGCTGGCTTCCGTTTTTGCTGCTCGCTAACAAATTTACCACCTGGGAAGGCGCAATTTAAGTAGTGCAATTTAAGTAGTGCAATTTAAGAAACCATAGCTAAAGGAAATTTTGTTTTTACATTCACATGCCTTCACAAGATTCACAAAAATCTTGAAATGATGGAAACTTCGCCTTTCTAAGTCATCAAGTTAATTTCTTTGCCTTTAAGCCAGAACCTTCTTCAACTATCTCAGGAAATGAGAATTTCTTCTATTTAAAAAAATAATTCCAGAGAGGGAAATTCCACAAGTTTCCTGAACAAGACATTACAAATCTTATTGGATGAGTCAAGTCACCCAACACCCAGCCCAGCTCTGTGCCTGACTTGAACACACTGGGACTTTCTTAGGTCTCGCCTTCAAAATGATGCAAGACTTGCAGGAGACTTGTAGGAGACTATTCCAGAATAAAAGAGCAAACAGGGACTAGTGGTGGTGACGATTTCTATAACTGAGGCGACGAGGGTAGTTTGGGTGCAGGTAGAGAAAGCCTTTGCTAAAATAGATGTGTACTTTATATAATCGACTGTTTTAAGCACCATTCATGTGCACTTAGCTTAAGTAAAAAACCTGAGATTTAAAAAAAAAAAAAAAAAAAAAAAAAACAGAAGAAATGATACGAAGAATATAAGCTGGCATGAAAAGGAGGGGAAAAAAATAAGAAGAGAAGAAACCCAGAGAGCACTGAAGGACAGGTTGGAAGATGAGTTCTAAGGATGCTCAGCCAGGGTTGAATAGCTGTGGACCACTGGCATCAGAGTAACAGCAGGATGGATAGGCTGGGTGTAGGTTCCCTTACAGGTGGGGTGGGGTTCCCTAGAAAGTGGCTCTGACCAGGTAGACCCATGACCTGGTTATTTATTCGGGCAACCAACATTCACAGAGTGCCTGTTAGGTGCCAGAAACTCAGAGACTGTGTTAGACATAGTACAGGCTAGGGCGGGCTTTGTGCTCATATGTCTTTATTAGGAAAAAGAGAGGAGAAAGAGGAGGAGGAACCCTTTCTGTATGTTTACTATCTTACATCATGTAGTCAGGTTCCTTGGGAAATAGAACCAGATTCTTAGATCTGCCTGCAGAACGTTCATTGAGGAGTGCTCTCAGAACAACTGTGAGAGGGAGGGGTGGGGGTGGGGGAGGAGGACAGAGCTGCAGGAAAAGATGAAAGGCAATACACTTGCATGGAATCAGCTGGTCCCGAAGGAGCTCTGGAGCTGAGCTGGCTCTTCAGAGTTGTCCTAGAGACCGGGCTCGCTACCCCAAATCAACGAGTCATTGGATGCAGCAACCTCAGGGAGGACCCTGAAACTTGTCTAGGCAGCTCCCTTCTCCTAAGGGCATTTCTGGGATAAGACTTCAGCTGTGAGTCATCAGCAGCCAACACTCCTGCCAGGAACTAGGGAACAAGTACCTTGATGCTGGAGACGTGGGAGAATCTGGGTGCCACACCAGGGGATACACACCATATGAGGATAGTGAGGCTCAGGGATATTAGATAACTCACTCAAAATCACACAACAAGTGAACAGCGGAGCCAGCACTCACCCCCAGCCAACCTGGCTCCAGAAGCCGGGTCTTCAATCACTGACCTCTATACAGTGTATAAAGAACCTACCAGAATGTCATGGTTGCTCAGGGATGTTACAACTATTTTATTTTAGGTACTGGTGGTGACGATTTCCTGCCATCAGTTCTTACCCTTTCAGCTATCTGAGAGGTGAAAACAGTGGCCTTAAACATTTTTGTGAACATATAATCAATTTTTCACTCTGTTAAGTCAAAACAGGGAACAAATTCTCTGTTCCACAGATGAATGTATTAGCCTGATAATGGAAATTAAAGGTTGGCCCCCACTGGGTCCTGTAACATAAATGGATCCCATCTTCTCATTGTTTGTGAACTGCTCTGGAGTTTGGACCAATGGAAGGTCCTCAAAGATTTCTCTTCCCCCGGCCCTGCTTTGCCATCTCTGAGGACCTATGTGATGAAGTTACTGTTGTCAGGGTGACAGATTGAGGAGAATGAGGTCAGAGCTGTGGGAGGCTTGGGCAACTTCATGATAAATGGAGGGAAAGGTCGTGTTGGTTAAGGGGGGAGGGGACCATCCAGAATCTCCCCTGGAGATCCCAGTTATGTGGCACAAAGTTTCATGAGGAATTTTATTTTTAAAAAGAGGAAAACCCAGCACACTGTATAAAGCCAATAAGTTAAATTATAGCTAAAATCCCCTCCAATCCCCTGTCTCCCAGCTTAGGTTCCTTGAGGTCGGGGCAGTCCCTGGATAGAAATGGAGTGGATAGGGAGGAGGGGACATAACATTTGTGGAAGTCCCAGGCACTGGAAACCTGAGCTGACACGAGCACCCTGAAGATATCCACAGTATAGCCATGTCTCCACACCCAGCTTCAGGGGCGTCCCCATCCAGCACATCTCACTGCTCTCTGCTGGAGCTGGCCAACTCCACCCCCAGGACAGCCCTGGTGCCTGAAGGTTGTACCTGCACAGCTAAAGGGGGCTCTACAGTGGCCATCCTCTGGCTAGGAAGCTGGAGTCTGCACCCTGCAGTGGGAGATGCCAGAGCAGTGAGGCAGGTGGATGACCCTTGCCTGGACCCATGACCCACCAACCTTGGTCAGGTGACCCACATCCCAATAAATCACCTTGGCCTCTGCATGACCTCTACGAGAAGCTCATCACCACCCTCCTATCTCCACTCTTCATCACCCAGTGTGTACAGCATTCTGAGAGCTTTCTGTGTTTTGAGTCACATATCCCTCATGGTCATTCTGTGATGAGGCACTCCTTTTACTTTTACTTGGCAGATCTGGAAACTCAAAACACAAAGAAATACATAGCCCAGGATCACAGACCCTGGAGGTGGTAGAGCTGAGCTGCCATCCCAGATACTCATGACAGTAGAGCTCATGCTTATAATCATGGGGCTACACAGCCTCTCTTTCCCAACAGAGAATTGGCCGCCCCTTCCCTAGGGTGGGTGCACTCCCTCATTAGGCAAAAGCTCACATCTCCTCGCTCTTTTCGTTACTCTCCTTGGGAACTAGGCAGGAATTGGTCACTGGGACCAGCTCTCAGTGGCACCCCTCCCACAGCGCCCCCTGCCACCAATCCTGTGCATCTTCCCTTTGAATGCTGTTGGATGCTTCAAGAAGAAAATGAGGATGGTCAGAAAGTTGACCTGCGTTGAGGTGGATAGTGCTTTTGAAATGGGGCAAAACAGATATTTTGCCAGGTAAAAATTAAAGCTGTTTAAAGGGAGGTGGTAAATTTCCTGGAAGGCAAGGAAGAGAAGGAAGGCAAGGAAGCCAACAAGTTTACATAAAATAACTTAAGGAGTATTACAGCAAGTTATGAGACTTCTGTGCCTCTATAAACACAACCACTAGCTAGTCATTAATTAATCATTAGTTGACACACTAGTTAATCAGTAGGAAACACAATTATGAAATCAGTCCCTGAGGCCTCAAGAGCAAGAAATGTTAAGGCTCAGGATCTCACCTTGAGCAACATGTTAGGAATCTATCTTTAAACTGATCCTCTGAAACACAGTGAACCCATCTTAAGTCATAAAACTTAATGTTTTATTAAGAAACCTTCACATTAAGTCATACTTTCAAACAGAGCCTGGAAAGGAAACAGCCACAGGTAAGCAAGCCCCTCTGCGCTCATTTCAAGAGCCAAAAGATGTCAGAAGAGATAATACTGCTCAGGAAGGCAGAAAACACTGAAGTTCAAGTGCACTCAACATACCAAGTTGCTTAATTTTTTTTCTGGGGGCACTCCGTGCCAGCCACTGTAGCAAATACAGCGTAGACTCATAGAATGTTAGGAGACAGAACTCCTGTTTTGAGCCATTTACACTTTGATTGGAATGTTAAGACTCACATGTGGGTGGAAATAAGAAGATAATACTATTACATATATAACCAGAGACTAAACGATGCCGTAAAAACTCAGGGAAAGGAAAAACAAATGTGGGTTGGAGTTGGTCAGCAGAGATTCTAAAGAAAACATGGGATTTGGGATGGTCTATGAAAGCAGCAAAGTGGTGGAGAGAGGTGGATAGGCCTTTCATCCAAAGATGGTGTGAGAACGGTGATGGCAAGAAGCCTAGGGACCAACGCTGGAGAAGACACAGGCCTTCCTGGAGAAGAGACCAGCTCTTCTGGGGAGAAGGGGACCTGAAGGCTGAGTAGGCTGGTGAGCTCTTCAGTCAGGAGTTCACAATTGGTTCCATAAAGTAGGAGGGAGCCACTGTGATTTCTTGAGGAGCAGAACCACCTTGTGCAAGCAGGCTCATGACGGTTATAACAAAACCAAACCCAAACCAGTGCTTTGGGAAGATGAATCGGAAATCTGAGAGGTAGATGCATGGATTGCTTGCTAATAAGAGGACAATGAAGAGATAATCTTGTCACCTAGGTACAAATTAATAAGAGCCTGTAATTACAGGGATAGTAAGATTGGGGAAGAAGGAAAAACATAGGATCTGCTGGCTGATTTCATCAGGGAAGTGAAAAGGGGATTGATTAATACTAGAAAAGAATAGTGTCTTCCACAAGATAAGTGGCTTTTTCCATTCTTGGAAATATGAGGGCTCTGGGGCATGGAACTAAGACTGAAGAAGTCAGGGAGATGGTTCGTGGGAGTAGGTGAGAAGTATGTTCTCAGCCATGCTTACTGTGAGGTGGGACATCCAGACCAGAATTTGGATTAGATTCCACCATCAGTCCTGGCTGCACACACCCCTGTCTTTTGTCGACTATTTTTAATATAAAGCCAATAGATAACTCAAAGCTGAGGTTTTCACTATATTATCCTGCTCCACAAAAGCATTTCTTTGTGGTTTTCTATTTGTGTGTTTGTTTCACAAAATTCTATGATTGAAAAGAGTCACCTTGATAATTTCAAGTACACAAGAGAGGCCAGGGCTGGAAACTTTCAAGTCAAAATCAAAAGCCAGCAAGTAGCCAGAGAGGAGGAGAATGTCCAGGCCCCTTGGATTTGAACCTTCTGCATTTCCTCTCTTTAGCCCTTTGGAGTGTCACTTTTTCTGACCATGCATAACCTCTGCTTAGGATTGTGAGTCCCAAGGACTGGAATATTTTGCCCGGTTTCTGAAATCACAGGTTTTTACAGCACCCTACATTTTATTTTACTTTTTTTTTTTAAATAATTTTTTAAGGTTTTATTTGTTTGACAGAGAGTGAGAGAAAGCCCAAGCTGAGGGAGTAGCAGGGGGGAGGGAGAAGCAGGCTCCCCACTGAGCAAGGAGCCCGATATGGGGCTCGATCCCAGGACCCTGAGATCATGACCCGAGCCGAAGGCAGAGGCTTTAACCCACTGAGCCACCCAGGTGCCCCCAGCACCCTACATTTTAGTTAAAAAAATCTGAAACAGTAATTAGCATCCCCATAGGATGGACTATTTTTAGCTTTTAACTAATATTTTTACATACTCCCAAAACATTTTTAAAAAACCTGTCTTTCTCCCATTCATTCACACTTCATTCATCAGAATGTGGTCAGCTGGGCTAGAGAGACAAGAAGGAATCAAGTCATAGGATTGGTTGGTGAATTGTTAAAAATGTGTATTTGCCATTTGGCTGAGTGATCCATCCTTTACAATGGAGCCTGAGCCTATAAAAAATTGAAGTGGGATCTGAACATGGCAAAATGTGTTTGCTTTTCTTAGATAAATCTGTTAGTATGTGCTGGAAAATGGCATCATTCCCCCATTGGAAATTGTGCTTCCCACGCAACATACGCCACTCTGTCTTCCCTCACAGATTTCCCCAAGCAAAGTTCAAAATCCTGCTTGTGTTGGTAGTCAGTCCCACGGTGAAACTATTAATTTAGTCTTTCCATTTGAGCTCATCCAAGAAGAACTCCAAGATATGATTCTTTTCAAAAGAGTGTTTAACAATTAGCACAAAATATAGCTACCGAGAACTTCTGAGCTGGGTTTCTCAAGAGCAGATTGTCAAGTCAAAAAGAAAGTCAAAACTCACAATGAAGAAGGAAGACAAAGAATAGAATTTTGTATTTAATAAAAGTCAAAGGTGATACATGTAAAAACACTGGTACTCTATAGGACAAACAGCTTGCTTCCTGGTATGGTCATATGGACTTACCAGATTTAGGAATGTCAAGTACTTCCACTGTCCGCCATTGAGAAAGACTTTGGATTTCCGCTGGTCTCCTCCTTGTTGTGAGATGTAATAATTGAGAAAAATATACCAGCTCAAAACAAGGAAGTGGTATACGCAGGTACAAATCCTCGTCATGGCTAGCTCTGACCAGGGAGCCGTGATGACTCAGGTAGCTTTCCTCTGGTGTCCGTCTGTGGGTCACAGCCGAAGTCATAAGGCATGCCCGAGGGCTGTAAACCACACCCCTCTGGGCCTGGGAGTTCCAGCAAGGCTGAATTTGGCTTCTCTCATAGGCTCCTTCCCTGGTAAACTTGGGAGATGGGATTATTGCTGGTTTTCAGATGCTTTCATTTAGATAATGATAAGTATCCCCAGATTTACAGAAGTTTCAATGCTTAGGCTTAGAAGAGGAGCAGGGGGAAAGGCAAGACCTGCACTTTGCACTGTTTGGCTGGGTAAGGGACCTTATTGTGAAACACCAAAAAACCCTAATCAATACTGTCAAGGCCATATCCTCTGTTCTTTTCTTTTTATCTGGGCAGAACAAGGAAGTTGGAATAATACTTCTTGAGAGATGAGGATCAGGTTGACAGATGAGATGGGAGAGATTATGGGCATGTTTACGGCACAAAGGGAGGTCAGGAGAAAGGGAAAGGACATTCTAATCTTGCTCCTGAGGTCTCTAGGGCCCTATAAAATCTATAACAAACGGCTCCTCCAAGGACAGGCCCCAAGGCTTTTTTTTTTTTTTTTTTTGAGTTTTGTATCTATGCCCTAGAGAACCAAAGGTTACCCAGGGCTAACCCCAGATCATTTACAAGGGTGTTTCTGTGCCCTGAGAAGAAAGAAGCACAGCAAGGGGTCTGTGGCCAAAGAAGCAAAGGAAGAGGTGTGTAGCCATGACCCCAACATACCTGAGTTTAGACATTGATGGGAAAGAGTAGGGGATCTCTGCATTATTGCCTTAGAGAGGATGAGAATGTGCTTAGGCTGGGCAGAGTTTTCAGAACTGGGCCCTGCTCAGGCTCAGCAGAAGGCACCTGAGAGAGCACTAGAAGTGTGATTACCTTGTGACATCACCAGCTTGTTTCCCTGGGCAACTGACTCTGAGGGTTCTGAGCAAATCCCTACAGGGAAGGCTCCCAATGCTGTTATGTAAGTCTAAAACTGGTGCTGTTCAATGGTTTAATCAGGGCTAAAATGTCCTGGGAGAAAGAACTGCAGGCTACACATGGAGGGCAAAACCAAACCAAACCCAGCTCCTAAGAGTCATCAAGAATAACGGTATATGGTGGCGGGGAGGTGGGGTGGGGAGAGCAAACCTGAACCAGCATTAGAGGGTCTTCATTGAAAGTGTTCCCAAGGGAAAGGATGACCTGGCAAATGGTGACATAAAACTCTGTGCACAGTTCCATGGCCTCGGTTAAAACTGCAAATAGAGCAGCTCATGCTTTGACCATGTTTATTGTGTAACAGGCCTTGCTCCAAAGTGCTTTACCCATACTAGCTCATTTAACACTCTCAACACCAGTTTGAGAGAAGCACTGTTCTGAACCTCACTACTATGAACCTCATTTTCAGATGGGGCTGCTAAGAGGATGTGCAAAAAGTAGCAAGAGGCAGAGCAGCAGTCTGTCCTCTGCCCAGTGTGCCTGACCACAAAGAAGGAATGTTTGCACTGCATACCCTCAGGCAGCCTCTGCAAAGTGTCTCCACCTGTGGCTGAACCTCTTTTATGCCTCTCTTTCTCCCAAGGGAAAAGTCCCTCAGGAAAGGATCAGATCTGTTTTGAAACTTGGTGCACATATAAGTTATTATGCTATGCCTCCTGGGGTGTTTTCATGGTACACATCATTATAGATTTAGGGGTTTTCTCCTTTTATAGAAAAAATCTCAAGCCTAAGTCTGCAGATAGGGTAAGGATTTGAGGCAAAAGTGAGAAAAGAGAGGGAAACAAAGACTCAAGTCTCTGGAACATGTATATCCAACCTGGAAGCTGGTCCATTAACACCTGGATTTTTTTTCCCTGCATTAACCTCAATGGCCATAGATGAAGACTTTCATAAATATCAATATAGTTGGGGCACCTGGGTGACATAGGTGAAGTGTCTGAATCTTGATTTTGAGTCAGGTCATGATCTCAGGGACATGAGATTGAGCCCCACATCAGGCTCTGTGCTAGGTGTGAAGCCTGCTTAAGATTCTTTCTCACCATCTTCCTCTGCCCCTCCCCGCTTCAAATATAAATATAAATATATAGATAGATATATACAGTTATTTAAATTTATGTATATGTTGTTCAATGTTTGATATTGGAATCCAACTGTTAGCTTTTTAATGAATGATAACTTTATCTATCATCTATCAGGATTTATATAGAGAAAATATGTAATTTTTTACTTCAATATATTTTCTTATAAAAATTTTCACAAAAATGTCTAAAGGAAATTCTACCTTGTGACCATGTTCACATCATAAATTGTATCTGTGGTTGAATAACCAGATAAATTTCCATGAAGCACTTTAACCATCTGTTTCGTGCTCTGAGACCAGGTGGAGCTTTGGGGAATAAAGACAGTGTCACCACTTAGCTACATGATATTATTAACTGATACAGACTGAATCTGCTATTTGCCTGCCTTTCTCCACTCTACAAGTATTTGGAGGCCTCATGTCATTTCCAGGAGGAGAAGAGAATTGTTCCCTAATTTAATAAAAAACTGACAGAAATACACACTTTTTTTCCACGGGAAATACTAAAAATATAAAATAAGCACATTTCACATTTTGAATGCAACAGATAATTTGACTATTAAAAGTAACGTTCTTTGAAACTATCTTCTGGGAATTTAGAACATCAATCTTTAATTTCACAAATACTTATCGAACAACTGCTAATTGCCAGGTACTTAGTAGGCTCTGTGGATTCCCTGGGGAATGAGAGAGCTCCGATGCCTGCCCTGATGGAGTTTCTATTCTAGTAAGGAATATGGACATTAAATAATAATAAAATCAGGTGTTAATTTATAATTATGGTAGCTTCTGTGGAAAATAACAGCATGAGACTTGCAGTGGTCTGAGGTCAGGGAAGCTGGCCTTAGGAAGCCACCTGTGAGCAGAGCTGTGTCCTCTCAACACTCCCAAGAAAATCCAGCTGTCCTTCCCAATCTTTTTTTGAGCTCCTCTTACTCTGCCCATTCCTTATGTGTTCATATTTCCCAGGGAGCTGCTCCAACCCTCCGTCCATCTCCCTACATACTCACCCAAGTGATGCTGCCCACTATCATGGTTTCTGCCACGACTTTCCAGTCTATAACCACAAATTTTATATCTGTTTTCCCAGCCCTCCCCCCGTCCCCACAAAGCTTCAAACATGTCTCGAGTACTTGTTGCATATTTCCTGAATGACTCAGATGCACCTCAAAACTCAAGATGTCTAAAATGCATGCACTACTTTGCCTCAAACCTGAACTTTTGTTTCCATCCTCTCTCTTGGGGGAGATGGCCCCATTGTCCAACCTGGGAGTCTTCTTTCCCTCCTCTGCCTCCCTCACTGCCCAAGTCCTGCCAACTTCATCTCCCAAATCAAACTCAAGTCAGTCCTCTTTTTTCCATTCTGTCTACTGCCCTAGTTCAAGATCTTCCCAATCTCTTCCCAGATGCTACTATCTTCTAACCAGTTTTCCGGATTCTAGTCTTTTTTTTTTTTTTAAAGATTTTATTTATTTATTTGACAGAGAGAGAGATCACAAGTAGATGGAGAGGCAGGCAGAGAGAGAGAGAGAGAGAGAGGGAAGCAGGCTCCCTGCTGAGCAGAGAGCCCGATGCGGGACTCGATCCCAGGACCCTGAGATCATGACCTGAGCCGAAGGCAGCGGCTTAACCCACTGAGCCACCCAGGCGCCCCCGGATTCTAGTCTTATCCCCAACTCCATTCTCCCCTAGGTCAGGAGGTGAGTCTATCCAAAAAGCCAATTTTAACATATTCTTCCCTGGCTTAATCCCTTTACTCCATCAATATCACCTACAGGATAGCATCCAAGTTTCGTAACTTTTTATAAACAAATACCCATCTGGCTTTGGTACTTTCTCCAGCCTCATCTGGTTTCATATTTGATTTCCTCCAACCACACTTGGCTAGGTGACGTGCAAGTGCTTTGCTCCTACCACCTTCTCTCAATGTGTCTTTGGCTGGATATTTCATAACCATCCTCCAAAATGCAGCTCAGCAGTTCTCTAGGAACTCTTCCCTGAACATCTTCTCAACTAAGCCATATTAAATATCCCCCTTTAGTTCCTTAATACCCCATACATCTCTGAAAATTGCATGATGATTATTACTGTTTTAGTCCATTCAGGGTGCTATGACAAAAATACTGTAGACAAGGTAGCTTATAAATGACAAAAACTTATTTCTCACAGTTCTGGAGTCTCGGAAGTCCAAGATCAGGGTGCCAGCAGACTCTGTCTGATGAGAGCTTCCAGGTTCATTGATGTCATCTTCTTGCTATGCCTTCACCTGTGGAAAGGGATGATGGATCCCTCTGGGGACTCCCATGTAAGGCCAATAATTCCATTCATGAGGACGCCACCCTTCTGGTCCAATCACTGACTTAGGATCCCACCCCCTAATCCCATCACTTTAAGGGTTAGTATTTCACCATACACATTTTGGAGAAATAAAACATTTAGTCCATAGCAATTAGAAATGAATCTCTTTTATGAACTGTTATCTCTCTGGGTACAGATATGGTGTTTTTGGGTTCTTAGAGCTTAGCATAGTGCTGGATACATAGTAAAAACTTAATCAATGTCTGTCGAATAGACAAATATGTGTATATCACGCATACTTGCCTACTGAGCCTTATTATAAAGCCAGCTCACCCATGAAAAACTTAACTATGTTTAAAGTGTTCAGCTGCTGATTTCTTGGGAGGAGCTGGAACACTAAGATGAGTAAGATATAGCCCAGGCCCTGGAGGAACTCACAGTCAAGTGGCAGAGACAGAAATCTAAACAAAAAAATTATAGCATGATATGATAAGTATTATAATAGAGGTATGCATAACCTACTAATGGAACTTCAATTATCTTGCACATTTTCTGTCATTCTAAATATACAGAAGATTGACTTCAAGATAAATGTGTTCAGTGAATCACTGGAAACTCCAGATGCTACGTAGGAGAAGATA